ACAGAACTAGAAAACTAAACAGAAAGAACAGAACTAGAACAGAACTAGAACAGAACTAGAACAGAACTAGAACAGAACTAGAACAGAACTAGAAGAGAACTAGAACAGAACTAACTAGAACAGAACTAGAACAGAACTAGAACAGAACTAGAACAGAACTAGAACAGAACTAGAACAGAACTAGAACAGAACTAGAACAGAACTAGAACAGAACTAGAACAGAACTAGAACAGACTAACTAGAAAACTAGAACAGAACTAGAACTACAGAACTAATACAGAACTAACAGAACTAGAACAGACTAACTACAGAACTAGAACAGAAACTAGAACAGAACAGAAACAGAACAGAACTAGAACAGAAACTAGAACAGAACTACAGAACTAGAACAGAACTAGAACGAACTAGAACAGAACTAGAACAGAACTAGAACAGAACTAGAACAGAACTAGAACTGAACTAGAACAGAACTAGAACAGAACTAGAACAGAACTAGAACAGAACTAGAACAGAACTAGAACAGAACTAGAACAGAACTAGAACAGAACTAGAACAGAACTAGAACAGAACTAGAACAGAACTAGAACAGAACTAGAACAAACTAGAACAGAACTAGAACAGAACTAGAACAGAACTAGAACAGAACTAGAACAGAACTAGAACAGAACTAGAACTGAACTAGAACTGAACTAGAACTGAACTAGAACTGAACTAGAACTGAACTAGAACAGAACTAGAACTGAACTAGAACTGAACTAGAACTGAACTAGAACTGAACTAGAACTGAACTAGAACTGAACTAGAACTGAACTAGAACTGAACTAGAACTGAACTAGAACTGAACTAGAAACTGAACTAGAACTGAACTAGAACTGAACTAGAACTGAACTAGAACTGAACTAGAACTGAACTAGAACTGAACTAGAACTGAACTAGAACTGAACTAGAACTGAACTAGAACTGAACTAGAACTGAACTAGAACTGAACTAGAACTGAACTAGAACTGAACTAGAACTGAACTAGAACTGAACTAGAACTGAACTAGAACTGAACTAGAACTGAACTAGAACTGAACTAGAACTGAACTAGAACTGACTAGACTGAACAGAACTGAACTAGAACTGAACTAGAACTGAACTAGAACTGAACTAGAACTGAACTAGAACAGAAACAGAACTGGAACAGAACTAGAACTGAACTAGAACAGAACTAGAACTGAACTAGAACAGAACGAACTGGAACAGAACTAGAACAGAACTAGAACAGAACTAGAACAGAACTAGAACAGAATACTAAACAGAACAAGAACAGAACTAGAACAGAACTAGAACAGAACTAGAACAGAACTAGAAACTAGAACAGAACTAAACAGAACGAGAACAGAACTAGAACAGAACTAGAACAGAACTAGAAAGAACTAGACATGAACTTACTGAACTAGAACTGAACAGAACTGAACTAGAAACTGAACTAGAACTGAACTAGAACTGAACTAGAACTGAACTAGAACTAGAATGACTAGAACTGAACTAGAACTGAACTAGAACTGAACTAGAACTGAACTAGAACTGAACTAGAACTGAACTAGAACTGAACTAGAACTGAACTAGAAATGAACTGAACTAGAACAGAACTAGAACTGGAACAGAACTAGAACTGAACTAGAACTGAACTAGAACTGAACTAGAACAGAACTAGAACTGGAACAAGAACTAGAACAGAACTAGAACAGAACTAGAACAGAACTAGAACAGAACTAGAACAGAACTAGAACAGAACAAGAACAGAACTAGAACAGAACTAGACAGAACTAGAACAGAACTAGAACAGAACTAGAACCGAACTAGAACAGAACTAGAACAGAACTAGAACAGAACTAGAACAGAACTAGAACTGAACTAGAACTGAACTAGAACTGAACTAGAACTGAACTAGAACTGAACTAGAACTGAACTAGAACTGAACTAGAACTGAACTAGAACTGAACTAGAACTGAACTAGAAACTGAACTAGAACTGAACTAGAACTGAACTAGAACTGAACTAGAACTGAACTAGAACTGAACTAGAACTGAACTAGAACTGAACTGAAATGAACTAGAACTGAACTAGAACTGAACTAGAACTGAACTAGAACTGAACTAGAACTGAACTAGAACTGAACTAGAACTGAATACTAGAACTGAACTAGAACTGAACTAGAACTGAACTAGAACTGAACTAGAACTGAACTAGAACTGAACTAGAACTGAACTAGAACTGAACTAGAACTGAACTAGAACTGAACTAGAACTGAACTAGAACTGAACTAGAACTGAACTAGACTGAACTAGAACTGAACTAGAACTGAACTAGAACTGAACTAGAACTGAACTAGAACTGAACTAGAACTGAACTAGAACTGAACTAGAACTGAACTAGAACTGAACTAGAACTGAACTAGAACTGAACTAGAACTGAACTAGAACTGAACTAGAACTGAACTAGAACTGAACTAGAACTGAACTAGAACTGAACTAGAACTGAACTAGAACTAGACTGAACTAGAACTGAACTAGAACTGAACTAGAACTGAACTAAACTGAACTAGAACTGAACTAGAACTGAACTAGAACTGAACTAGAACTGAACTAAACAGAACTGAACTAAAATTGAACTAGAACTAGAACAAAACTAAAACAAAACAAAACTAGAACAGAAGTAGAACTAGAGAACAAACTAGTTTCTGTAAAAAAGAGTTACAACTTATTTACGATAAGATCAGCATAAATCACACACCCTTATTCTTAATGTTGCTATACAAATTATTAAAAATAATATACATGGCTAATAAATTAAGTGTCTTGTGACAACATTTTAAAACATCAAGAGTCCATTCGACGCCAATTAACTTTTATAGTTCATATAAAGCTACATATTAACATTCCAAACAGAATCAAAATATCAAAAAAAAAGGTTCTAATAAAGATAAAACCAAATTAATTTGTAATTTTCATATGTGACTTTAACTGAAGCAAGATTTCTGTTTAGTGATAAAATTACAAAAAAAAAAAAAAAAAAAACATGACATTTTTGTACAATGAACTAATTGTGATTCATATTTATGCCACCTGTTGTTAATTGATCATTAAATTAACTGTAAGTGTTTAAGGTATTATGTATTCAGGCTTGCTGTTGCCAAAAAGGTTCAGATTATGGTTTCACAAGGTGATTTTTTAAGTCAATTTCACGATGTCTGTGTATCTGTTGGTTTAAACTTGGTAATTTACCCAAGCCCCCTTGCAGAGATTATTTCAGAATATTTGGCTTTGGGTACTAATAGGTATTAAATGAAATATAATTCCGAACTCATGAAGATGGCCTGGATGCGGCCTGAGAGAGAACCTACTCACCAGATAAGGCCTTCTTCTATTAACAATCATTTTTTTTAAAGTTTTATAGAAATCGGTCTATAATTAAAATGATTTATCTTATAGCTGCTGTAGGGTATTAAACATTTCAGAATATTGGGTTCAGAAAAACTGCTTGTGCGTGTTGCAGGTTAAATCAAGTCATGTTTATATGACATGGATATTAATAAAAAAGTATAACCTTGTATTTAATTAATGGGCTTTTAAAAAGTGTAAGTTTTTTTCTAAGAACTTTATAAATGTATATTAAAAAGTCGTATTTTTTCATTGCATCTTTAAAGTGAAGTGGTTAATATATTTATTTAATATTTTTATAACGTATAAAATTTAAAAGAATAACAATTTAATATTGTTTAGCGAAAAACTCTTCATAGGGTAATTTCGAAAAGACATCATTCAAAATTTTCTGCATTATTGGTGTAAGACCATTAAAAAGTGAATTATGAATTTCGTTAAAAATGTCCAACCAATTTTCATTAATGAAAACATTAACATTATTGGTCAAAACTTTATCGCCATTGAATAAATTATCGAAATTGAAAACGACCTTTTTCGGTGTAAGAGAGCCGGTTAAATTTTCGATTTTCATATAATGCGACCATTCTTGACATAAGGAGAGCCAGAGAATTGTATAGCAAGGGTAACATCGTCTGAAAGTGATAATATATCGTATTTAAGAGCAAAAATTTATCCTTTATTTAAACTTACTCAATGTTATATCATGCTTTCCAATACCTTCTACTGGCAGCACTATCACCTGACCTTTGACATTATAATCGCCTGTCATATGAATAAGAGGTATTTGTAACTTTATCTCATGTTTTTTACTCAAGTCCCTTTCGAAGCCACTGTAGGAATATAAAAAAAATTTAAAACCAATCACAAACCTTTCTAAAAACCAAATCCCTACCTTACGCCTATGGCCTTAGCATCTTTCAGACCATTTAGTAAATTATTTTTCATAATCAAGTCTATATTAACGGGACTATTGGGACCGGGTTGTATGTTCAACAAAGGCACACTCAAAGGATCAAGTTTTGGCAAATTAATAAAACCATCACCTAAAAATATATCATATTCCCAACAAAATAAAATTTTATTTAAAGAATTCCAATCACTTACCTGCATATTTGGAATTTAAGAAAAAGTTAATACGTTCTTGTATACATCTGGTATCCTTATAACGGCAGGGTCTAGGATTTAGAGCTAAAACGAAAACTACAATATTATGTATTTCAAAATTATTTACTTCAATTAACTTACGAAAATTTCCCTTAGCCTTAGCTATTATAACGAATAAAATTGTAAGGATTTTAAAAAATAGTTTTCTTTAAACATTTTGTATAAAATGCAAATTTAGGCGTTTGTTTCTGAATTTGAAATTACAACTGATATCTGTTTTAGTTTTAGCTTCGTTTTTATATTAGCGAAATCTAATTGTAACTGCAATAGGAAGATCATAACTTATTTTAAATATGAGATTTATAATTATGAAATGTTAATAAATATTGCATTCAAATAGTAATAATATAAAAATATAAATTAAACTGTGTAGTTGTTTTACATCAGTCTAGTCTAGTAATATTCATACTTTGTAAAAAAAAACAATCTTAGAAATTCCATACAATAGTCTTGTCTGTAATCGAAACTATAGTCTAGTCTATAGTATAGTCTATAATGCAGTCTATAGTCTTGTCTATAGTCTAGTCTAGTTTATAGACTATAGACTAGTCTATAGATTAGACTATAGACTAGTCTATAGATTAGACTATAGACTAGACTATAGACTAGACTATATAGACTATAGACTAGACTATAGACTAGACTATAGACTAGACTATAGACTAGACTATAGACTAGACTATAGACTAGACTATAGACTAGACTATAGACTAGACTATAGACTAGACTATAGACTAGACTATAGACTAGACTATAGACTAGACTATAGACAAGACTATAGACTGCACTATAGTCTTGTATATAGTCTAGTCTATAGTCTAGTCTATAGTCTAGTCTATAGTCTAGTCTATAGTCTAGTCTATAGTCTAGTCTATAGTCTAGTCTATAGTCTAGTCTATAGTCTAGTCTATAGTCTAGTCTATAGTCTAGTCTATAGTCTACTAGTCTAGTCTATAGTCTAGTCTATAGTCTAGTCTATAGTCTAGTCTATAGTCTAGTCTATAGTCTAGTCTATAGTCTAGTCTATAGTCTAGTCTATAGTCTAGTCTATAGTCTAGTCTATAGTCTAGTCTATAGTCTAGTCTATAGTCTAGTCTATAGTCTAGTCTATAGTCGAGTCTATAGTCTAGTCTATAGTCTAGTCTATAGTCTAGTCCTATAGTCTAGTCTATTGTCTAGTCTATAGTCTAGTCTATAGTCTAGGTCTATAGTCTAGTCTATAGTCTAGTCTATAGTCTAGTCTATAGTCTAGTCTATAGTCTAGTCTATAGTCTAGTCTATAGTCTAGTCTATAGTCTAGTCTATAGTCTAGTCTATAGTCTAGTCTATAGTCTAGTCTATAGCTAGTCTAAGTCTATAGTCTAGTCTATAGTCTAGTCTATAGTCTAGTCTATAGTCTAGTCTATAGTCTAGTCTATAGTCTAGTCTAGTCTAGTCTATAGTCTAGTCTATAGTCTAGTCTATAGTCTAGTCTATAGTCTAGTCTATAGTCTAGTCTATAGTCTAGTCTATAGTCTAGTCTATTAGTCTAGTCAACAGGAAGAGCCGCAGTATGGGCTTGTGGAAACAAGGCCATAGAAGTGGGTATGAAGGAGCAGCATGAAGGACTATAGATTGGGGGAGTCAGAGAACTAATGAAAGGGGAAGAATACTGCTTGACGCCTTTTCTCAACTCGACCTAATTCTCGTGAATAAGGGTAATTCGTATACATTCAGAAGGGCCGGCTATGGCTCGATTGTTGACCTAACATTCGTAAGTGCAAACCTATCAAGAGATGTAGAATGGCAGGTTAGCGAGCACTATACGTATAGCGACCACCATGCAATAATACTCACTGTACATACCGGAAGTCATACGGTGTCAAAAAGCACTAAGGTAAAAATTCAAGGGTGGTCTAAAGACAAAATCGATATGGAGTGTTTCACCGAAACTTTCTCCAATTACAACATAATAGAAGGCACAGCAACGGAAATGTGTAGGCAGCTATAGTCTAGTCTATAGTCAAGTCTATAGTCAAGTCTATAGTCTAGTCTATAGCCTAGTCTATAGTCTAGTCTATAGTCAAGTCTATAGTCTAGTCTATAGTCTAGTCTATAGTCTAGTCTATAGCCTAGTCTATAGTATAGTCTATAGTCTAGTCTATAGTATAGTCTATAGTCTAGTCTATAGTATAGTCTATAGTCTAGTCTATAGTCTATAGTATAGTCTATAGTCTAGTCTATAGTCTAGTCTATAGTCTAGTCTATAGTCTAGTCTATAGTCTAGTCTATAGTCTAGTCTATAGTCTAGTCTATAGTCTAGTCTATAGTCTAGTCTATAGTCTAGTCTATAGTCTAGTCTATAGTCTCGTCTATAGTCTAGTCTATAGCCTAGTCTATAGTCTAGTCTATAGTCTAGTCTATAGTCTCGTCTATAGTCTAGTCTACAGTCTAGTCTATAGTCTAGTCTATAGTCTCGTCTATAGTCTAGTCTATAGTCTAGTCTATAGTCTGGTTTATAGTCTAAAGGGAAATTAATTTTGTACTTTAAGACCTAAAAGGTAATATATTTTAGTCGAGACTACAGTTTTGTCTATAGTCTAGACTATAGTTTAGTCAGTAGTCGTCACTATAGTTAATCTATAGTCATTTATATGGTTTATAGTCGAGACTATAGTTTTGTCTATAGTCGAGTCTATAGTTTTGTCTATAGTCGAGACTATAGTTTTGTCTATAGTCGAGACTATAGTTTTATCTATAGTCGAGACTATAGTTTTGTGTATAGTCTAGACTATAGTTTAGTCAGTAGTCGTAACTATAGTTAATCTATAGTCATTAATATTGTTCATAGTCGTGACTATAGTCTATTCTATAGTCGAGACTATAGTATTGCTTATAGTCGAGTTTAAAGTCTTGTGGATTATATTTTTTAATATTTTCTAAATGGCATCACCCATATTACCCTTCGATACCCTAAAACTTATTAATTCTAAAATCAAGTTGTCATATAAAAGCAATAATTCCAATAAGAACTGTAATAAAAATAATCAATTAATATGAAAATGAATTTGAAAATAAGACGATCATTAATTGAATAAATCAAAGCAAATACAAACTAGGTAGCAGCAAACAACAATATCTGGTTGTAGGAATTGTACGTCATGGAAAAAAGTAAATAAATTTTTTAAAATGCTGATTTTGAATATTATTTATATTTGAATTTTTATTTTTATATGTTATAATATTAATATGTAGTTACTTTATTCAATAAAATATTTATCATAAGGATATTTACTGAAAACCTCATTAATAACATCCTTAAAAATATCACCAAATGCTTTACATATCGAAAGACGTACTTCGGCATAAATTTCTTGCCAATTTTCGTTTAAAAACAAATTCATATTATCACCTAAAGCTTTATCGCCATTAAATAGATTTTCCACCTTATATATCATGCCCTTGGGTTCAGCATCCGAATTCATTTCCTCAATATGCATATATGTGGCACCATCTTTTTCCATCGGTGTTCCCACAAAATTCATAAAAATTTCAACATCAACTGCAAAGATAAGTAAATGCTTGAATGCTTGAAAATGGTCAGCATGAAGTGAAATTTACCCATTAGTTATATTCGATTTACCCGTACCCTTAATGGGTAATATCAAAATTTTACCATCAATATCATAATCACCAACTACGCTCATATAATCGGAATGTAACATAATGCTATGTTTACCAGTTAAATCTTTGCCGAAGCCCCTGTTAATAAATTTTAGTGTTTAGTAAAACGATAAAATTTTTGAACAAATTTTTTATAAATTTTACTTGATTTTATTGCCTTGAGCTTTTCAAATCCATACATAAGGTTATTTTTCAATACCAAATCCAAACTAACAGGACTTTCTTTACCCTGATGTATATTAACGGTATTAGCTTTTAATGGATTAAGTGATTGCAAATTTATTGAGTCATCGCCTGCGATAAAATAAAAGTAAACAGAGAAAGATCTAAAGTCATTACCCAGTTACTGTTTGAATTCGGTAAATTTTTGATTTCGAATAAACACTCACCATCTAATTTATCCTTAAATAATGAATTAATTATTTCTATAATACATTCCGAATCCTCATATTTACAAGGTTTAGGATCATCAGCTTAAGGACGAAATATAGAATAAAAAAAAAAAAACAAATTAACACTTAATACACCATTTCCCCGAATCCTTAGCGCAACTTACGAAAATCCGCTTTAATACTCGAACACAATGAAATTACTAGAATCGTTATTATTTTCAAAAACATTTTGAAATTAAAGCAAATTGACCGATCGCGTTTCCGTTTGTAAAAAACTAATCTTATTTGTTGAAGATGATCTACTTTTATATACTAAAAATTAAATACTTCTGTCAATTAATTGACATATGCTTGACACTAACATGTTGTAATTAATATTAAATAATTTACTAAATAAGACATTCAATCATTATTGATAGAATAATGTAAAACTGTTAATAACTTATAACATGATTAAAACAATAAATAGTTGGTTATAACTTTTAATAGTTCGTTGAAATTTTTTTTAGTCGAAACTGTAATCTTGTCTATAGTCAAGACTATAATTTTGTCTTTAGTTAAGTTTATAGTCTTGTCCTTAGTCGAGACTATAGTATTGTCTATAATCGAGACTATAGTATTGTCTATAGACGAGACTATAATCTTGTCGTGACTATAGTCTTGTCTATAGTCAGGTTTATATTCCAGGCTTTAATCCTGTCTATAGACGAGAGTGTAATCTTGTCTATAGTCGAGTTTATATTCTAGTCTATAGTCGTATCTATAGTTTTGTCTATAGTCAAGTTTATAATTCAGGCTTTAATCTTGCCTATAGTCGAAACTGTAATCTTGACTATAGTCGAGACTGTAATCTTGTTTATAGTCAAGTTCTTGTCCATAGTAGTGACTGTAGTATTATTGTCTTTAGTCGACAATAATCGACTATAATCTACTCTATAGTCGATTTTATAGTCTTATCTATAGTCTGGACTATAATCTTGTCTAAAGATAGACTGTAATCTTGTCTATAGTCGAGTTATCTATACTCGAGACTATAATCTTGTCTGTAGTTGAGACTGTAATCTTGTCTATAGTTTAGTTTATATTATTATCTACAGTCGAGTTTATAGTCTAGTATATAGTCGAGTTTGTATTCTTGTCTATAGCAGTGCCTATAGTCTTGTGCTGTCAATAGCTGAGGTTATAGTCTTATCTATAGTCGATATTATTGTCTTGTCATTAGTCGTGACTATAGTCTTGTCTATAGTCTAGTCTATAATCTTGTCGATAGTCAAGACTATACTCTTGTCTATAGTCGATACTATAATCTTGTCTATAGTCGTGACGTTAAAGTTGTCTATAGTCGAGACTATAATTCTGTCTATAGTCGAGACTATAATCTTGTCTATAGCCGAGACTGTAATCTGGTCTATAGTCGAGTTTACAATATTGTCTATAGTCAAGACTATAATCTATTCTATAGTCTTGTCTACATATAGTCGAGTTAATGTCTTGTTTATAGTCGAGACTATAATTTTGTTTATGGTCTAGATTATAATCCTGTCTATAATCGAGACTATAATCTTGTCTATAGTCGAGTTTATATTCTTGTATATGACTATAATCTAGTCTATAGTCTTGGCTATGTGGAGACTATAATCTTGTCTATAGTCGAGACTATAACATTGTCCATAGACGAGACTATAATCTACTCTATAGTCGAGTTTATAGTCTGGTCTATAGTCAGGACTATATTCTTGTCTAAAGACGAGACTGTAATCTTGTCTATAGTTGAGTTTATATTCTTGTAATAGTCGTGACTCTAGTCTTGTCTATAGTCGAGTTTATAGTGTTGTCTATATTTGAGACTATCTTGTCTGTAGTTGAGACTGTAGTATCTTATCTATAGTCGAGTTTAAGGTCTCGTATATAGTCGTGTTTGTATTCCTGTCTATAACAGTGACTTATAGTCTTGTTTTGTCTATAGTTGAGTTTATAGCCTTGTCTATAGTCGAGATTATAGTATAGTTATAGTCTTGTCTATAGTCGAGTCGAGACTATAATCTTGTTAATAGTTGAGACTATTCTTGTCTATAGTGAGACTATAATCTTGTCTATAGTCTATACTATAATATTGTCTATAGTCGAGACTATAATCTTGTCTATAATCGAGATACTATGTCTATTCGAGATTGTATCTTGTCTATAGTCTAGACTAATCTGGTATAGTCGAGACTATAATCTTGTGTATAGTCGAGATTGTAATCTTGTCTACAGTCGTGACTATATCTTGTCTGTATATAGTCGAGACTATAATCTTCTCTTAATCTCGTCTACACGAGGTTATATACTTATCTATAGTCGTGCTTATAGTCGACACTATAATATTGTCTATAGTCGAGATTGTAATCTTGTCTATAGTCGTGACTATAGTCTTGTCTTGTATATAGTCAAGACTATTATCTTCTCTATAGTCGAGTCTATACTATAATTATGTTTATAGTCTTGTCTTTAGTCTGGACTACAATATTGGCTATAGTCGAGTTCTTAGTATTGTAACTATAGTCTTGTCTGTCGTCGAGACTTTATTATAAGCCTGTTTTTTAAATAATATTTTCTTAATATTTTTTTTTAATGAAATCACCTATATTACCCTTCTATGCCCTACAGATTAATTCTAAAATCATTTTGTCGTATAAAAGCAATAATTGCAATAAAAACTATAATAAAGATAATCAATTAATATAAAAATGAATTATGAAATTAAACGATCATAAAATGATCAAATCAAATAAAAAAACAACTAATAACAAATTCAGGTTGTCAAGTTTGTTAGTGTTCTAAAAAATTAACACATTTTTGATTTTTGATTTTGAATAGTATTTATATTCGAATATTTATTTCTTTATGCGTTTAATTAATTTATTCAATAAAATATTTATCATAAGGATATTTACTGAAAACCTCATTAATAACATCCTTAAAAATTTCACTAAATGCCTTGCATATCGAAACACGTACTTCAGCATAAATTTCTTTCCAATTTTCGTTTAAAAACAAATTCATATTATCACCCAAAGCTTTATCGCCATTAAATAGATTTTCCACTTTATATATCATGCGCTTGGGTTCAGCATCTGAATTCACTTCCTCAATATGCATATATGTGGCACCATCTTTCTCCAAAGGAGTCCCCACAAAATTTATAATAATTTCGACATCAACTTAAAGAAAATCAAATGCTTTAATAAATGAAAGTTCTAATCATATAGTTAAGGAAATATTTACCCATAGTTATATTCGATTTACCCGTACCCTTAATGGGTAATATCAAAATTTTACCATCAATATCATAATCACCAACTAGGCTCATATAATCGGAATGTAACTTAATGCCATGTTTACCAGTTAAATCTTTGCCGAAACCTCTGTTAATAAATTTAAGTGTTTTTAGTTAAAGGGTCATATTTTTAGAATTATTTCTATAAATTTTACTTGACTTTAATTGCCTTGAGAGTTTCAAGTCCATATATATGGTTATTTTTCAGCTCCAAATCCAAATTAACAGGACTTTCTTCACCCTGATGTATATGAACGGTATTAGCATTCAATGGATTAAGTGATTGCAAATTTATTGAGTCATCGCCTGCGGTTAAATAAAAGTAAAAAGAGAAAGATCTCAAAATATTTCCATTGACCAGTTACTGTTTTGTTTCGGTAAACTGTAGACTTTATAGAAAATACGATACGAAACTCACTTCACTTTTATCACAGATTTAATTCCTTGTTTTATAATGAACACTCACCGTCCAATTTATTCTTAAACATTGAATCAATTACTCCTTTTATACATTCCGAATCCGCATATTTGCAAGGTTTAGGATCATCAGCTTAAGGACGAAATATAGAATTAAAAAAAAAAACAAATAAAAATTATCACTTAATACACCGAATCTCCCCGAATCCTTAACGCAACTTACGAAAACCCGCTTTAGTACTCGAACACACTGAAAATATTAGAATCGCAACTATTTTCAAAAACATTTCGAAGTTAAAGCGAATTGACCGTTTGTAAAAAACTGATCTTATTGTTAAGATGATCTACTTTTATATAGTAATATTTTTTATAATTCAGTCAAAAAATTGGCATTAACTAACTAATATTAAATTAATTAAATTAACTACATAAAGCATTTAGTAATTATCGCTCATAAATACACAATTAAAACGATAATTATTGGTAATTATTTTAATTTTTTTCCCATATGAAAAAAAGTTATTGTTTTTCTAGGGATTTTGCAATAAATCCGTTAACTCATTACGTAGTAATGAGTTAGTATGCTAATATTAATAGCTGTTTTAGTATTTCAGCTTATTATCTAAGTAGGGTATAAAATAGCTCAATAATTGGTTATAAATTAGAAAAAAAAAATTCACGATTCTGAATTGAACGGTCTACTATTGAATTATTAAATTGTCATTGATAATGGATAATAAAAGTCGATAGCAATCAATTAACATATGCTCTTAATTAACTATATTGTCAATTTTAATTGAAATTATTACATTTAATCGCTAAAATATTTATCATAAGGATATTTTGAGAAAACAGCATTTAAAACATCTTTAAAAACTTTTGCATATGCTTTGTTTAAAGAACCTCTTACTTCATCATAAATTTCTTTCCAATTTTCATTTAGAAATAAATTCATATTATCACCCAAAGCTTTATCGCCATTAAATAGATTTTGCACATTATACAGCATTTTTTTGGGCACCACATCGCTATTGAGTTGTTCGATATTCATATAAGTAACGCCTTCTTTTTCAAGGGGCGTGCCCACAAAATTCATTATTATATCGACATCAACTGTAATGGAAGACAAAATATTTCCATGAAAATAATAATTTTTTCTGCTATTTGAAGAAAATTATTTACCCATAGTTATATTAGTTTTACCACTGCCCTGTATAGGCAGTATCAAAATTTTGCCTTTTATATCATAATCACCGACGGCACTCAAGTAATCGGTATGCAAAATAAGCGTGTGTTTTTTGGTTAAATCCTTGCCAAAGCCCCTGTTAAGAAATTTAATGTTTTTGTTAAAAAATTTGTTGAAGAAAATATTTATATTTAAGATTTAATGAACATGCTGGAGTAGTAACACCATAACGACACGAACTATCGCACTAGGGACTAACTAAGGAGAAGAGAGGGAACTAATAACACTAAAAAAGAACTAACAACTACTAACGAAACTAACTACAACTAACTAAAACTAACTAAACTAACTAACTAACTAACTAACTAACGAACTAACTAAACTAACAACTAACTAACTAACTACTAACTAACTAACAACTACTAACTAACGAACTAACTAATACTAACTAACTAACTAACTAAACTAACTAACTAACTAACTAACTAACTAACTACTACTACTAACTAACTAACTAACTAACTAACTAACTAACTAACTAACTAACTAACTAACTAACTAACTAACTAACTAACTAACTAATAACTAACAACTAACTAACTACTAACTAACTAACTAACTAACTAACTAACTAACTAACTACTAACTAACTAACTACTAACTAACTAACTACCTACTAAACTAACTAACTAACTAACTAACTAACTAACTAACTAACTAACTAACTACTAACTACTAACTACTAACTACTAACTAACTAACTAACTAACTAACAACTAACTAACCTACTAACTAACTAACTAACTAACTAACTACTAAACTAACTAACTAACTAACTAACTAACTAACTAACTAAAAACTAACTAACTAAAACTAACTACTACTAACTAACGAACTACTAACTAACTAACTAACTAACTAACTAACTAACTAACTAACTAACTAACTACTAACTAACTAACTAACTAACTAACTACTAACTAACTACTAACTAACTAACTAACTAACTACTACTAACTAACTAACTAACTAACTACTAACTACTAACTAACTAACTAACTAACTAACTAACTAACTAACTAACTAACTAACTCTAACTAACTAACTAACTAACTAACTAACTAACCTAACTAACTAACTAACTAACTAACTAACTAACTAACTAACTAACTAACTAACTAACTAACTAACTAACTAACTAACTAACTAACTAACTAACTACCTACTAACTAACTAACTAACTAATAACTAACTAACTAACTACTAACTAACTACTAACTAACTAACTCTACTAACTAACTAACTAACTAACTAACTAATTAACTAACTAACTAACTAATTAACTAACTAACTAACTAACTAACTAACTAACTAACTAACTAACTAACTAACTAACTACTAACTACAACTAACTAACTAACTAACTAACTAACTACTAACTAACTAACTAACTAACTAACTAACTAACTAACTAACTAACTACTAACTAACTAACTAACTAACTAACTACTAACTAACTACTAACTAACTAACTAACTAACTAACTAACTACTAACTAACTAACTAACTACTACTAACTAACTAACTAACTAACTAACTAACTAACTAACTAACTAACTACTAACTAACTACTAACTAACTAACTAACTAAACTAACTAACTAACTAACTACTAACTAACTAACTACTAACTACTAACTAACTAACTAACTAACTAACTAACTAACTAACTAACTACTAACTAACTAACTACTAACTAACTAACTACTAACTAACTAACTAACTAACTAACTAACTAACTAACTAACTAACTAACTAACTAACTAACTAACTAACTAACTAACTAACTAACTAACTAACTACTAACTAACTAACTACTAACTAACTACTAACTAACTAACTAACTAACTAACTAACTACTAACTAATACTAACTAACTAACTAACTAACTAACTAACTAACTAACTAACAACTAAACTAACTAACTAGCTACTAGCTAACTAACTAACTAACTACTACTAACTAACTAACTAACTCCATACAATTATCGATTAACAATACACTATTGCTCAGACATTATTTAACGATCTCAAAATTCTATTTTTATGGAAGAGAACCTTATATGGAATCTATCTTATATTTTGAATTGATCTTTCTGAAATTATAAAACCCATTTGTTGTACTCTTAATTTCTTGATTTCGAACTTACCTTGTATTTTATTCTTTAATAAAAAATTCATAGTTTCTTTAATACATTCCACATCTCCATATTTACAAGGTTTGGGATCATCAGCTAAAAAACATTTAACTTTAACTCTACACTCCCGATTGCAATTCTTTCCATAACTTACGAAATTCTGCCTGAACTAACACACTCACACTGATCACTAGAATCGTTGTTAATATTTACAAACCATTTTATTTCAATTGCAAATGCTCACGGTTTCACTTTGTAAATAAACTAAGACGGTTTCTTTAGATTTGTAACTTTTATATAGATTACAATGTAGAAAATTTGTATAAAAATTTACGTATTTATTAGTTTTACATATAACATTATTTTTAAATCCACTGACTGAGACAAACTTAAAATTATTGAATATAATGAATTGAATATAATTTTTAGTAAACAAATAGTTCTAACAAGTTAATTACATGTTTCAGTAAGTACTGGGATATTAGAAGAAGTGTAGTAGAAATTTAATAAAACAGTTGTATATAATTATGACGAATTAATCATATATATACTAAATAGATTCGCTTGGGTCCTTATTATATTCTAAGTTGAACTAGTTATGTCCGTCCGTTTGTTTTTTGGAAACATGATAGGGCCCACACGGTAGCTAGAGGTCTGATATTTGTTTTTTGCAAATATTCTCTATTGATGGTCTTTTTTAATCAGTCCATAATTGACTCCCCTATAACCCAACCCTTTCTTATCGAAAATGAGTTTATTGTTAATAAATCTTTAAAAAAAATATTAAATTTCTGCAGAATTCTGTCCATAGTTGACCCAGGCTACCATTAAAGACCTTATGTTGAAAATCATGCTGAACTCATACGAAAGGATCGATCAATAAATATCTCAGTCTATGTATCGAAATTCTCAGACGAAAGGATCGATCAATAAACTTCAGTCTATATATGGACCGACATTTGAAATTCGCTTTTTTTCGCTAATTCGCTATTTTAAGACACATGCTTTGATGATGCCTTTATAAGATTCGCCGAATATAAAACTTTTACTTATTCCAGTTGAAAATAGTTTATTGTATGATCGGGGATCTCTCCCAAAATCCGTTTTTGTGAAGAGTTTATTTTCTTGATTTAAAATTAGTTAGTTTGAAAGGAGGATTTACATATATACATCAAATCCGAAGAAATACACCTAGGCCTCTATCGGCCCTGTTGTGCGCTCCTTAACCAGTGCCTCAGGTGGGAATCGAACCCACCACCTCCGGTCTACCAGACTAGAACACTAACCACTAACCCACCAGAGGCCACTGATTTAAAATTAAAATATTGATTATTTAAATATTCGTTATAATTGCATTCTACTGTATATTTTTATTTTTAAACTATATATAACTTTAAATAACAATCTGTATTATAATTGTTAGAATGATATACATATTTCTGGAACTGAATAATATGAAAAACATTATTATACGAGGGTGCAATTGAAAGATTTAGCAATAATTTCTATATATATTTTTTGTTGCTATAAAGGATCAAAATCGACATGATTGAATGAATGAAGTATGAAAGTATAAGTGGTCATGCCTGCCCGGGCAAGGAGGCATATGTTGTCCGATTAAATGAGGTCGCTGAAATTACTTTGTAATCCTCAGAAAATCCACTATGTTTAGAGATAGTTGAGATATCACAGCATTGACTACAAATACCTTCTGTACAGGCCAATTAGCCGATTACTCAGTTATATATTACCCCTTTAAGTTTAATTACTTTGCGAAGTACAACTTTGCTTTGCGATCGTGGGTGTTGAAGGCCTTTTCAATGTTTACTGTATATAAGAATCCATTATTATTGTATTTTCGGAATTTTCTATACAACACTCGTATTTTTTTTAAATGTTTTCGTTTTCTATTAATTCCGCGTATTAACTATAGCGTCATTAGTACTACAAATTAATAATTAACTATTTACAATCTGTCAGATTAGTAAGATTTATAATAAAGTAAATTGTTTGCTAAACGATTATTAAATTAAAACTGAACCTTAGGAGTTTTATTTTGTTTATAAATAATATTTATTACACGTTTTATGATGTGATATAAAAACAATAAATTAAACTTAAAAGTGAAACCGATCCAGTTATTACACTACTTTATAGTAAAATAGTTAATCGAAAACTAGTCTGATAACTGGTTCATTGGGTATAGAGTTAGATGCTAAATCTAACGTGTTATATAAAAGACCCCTATGACTTTAATATAGCAAAGATCTAAGAGGAGGCCAATAAGTTCAAGGCTGTAATCTAAAGAGATAATATGCATAATGTCAATTATTAAATTAGATTAAATTTACAGTTAGACTGGAAACATTTCTCTACAATTTACGAAAACTATAAATATTTTATAAAATTAGTTTTAACCTCCATATAACAAAAACTCTGAATTCCTTAACGAAGGGTATCCAAAATTTATTATTTAATAAATGGTAGTTATTTAATTAAATCAAAGTCTTAATTCTTTAATGTATAGTATTAAAATTAATTAATAAATAATTGATATTTATTTAAATAAACAATAACTGGAGGGGTTTAGTTCAAGTTAATGCTTTCACCTTATGAAGTATGATTATCCCTATTGAGGTGTGAAAATCGCACTACTTTAACTCCTTAATCATTATAACAAATTTTGTGAGGAACGATCCATATTAAGGCTTTGACACTACACTTAATTCTTTAGTTTTGGTTATCATATACAACCAGATGTTTCAACTCAATTAAGTAAATGATTGAATTAATTAAAATTTTAATTTTAAAAAAGTAAATGGCTTCATTTGGGGCTAGTATTGAATAGAGTATCGAGCCGTTAAAAGGCTTTTAGTGGATCTCAATATAAACAAGTCTTCTAGACCTATTATCATACCAGCACCGGTCTTAAAACAGTGTTCTTTGACGCTAGCTCGTCCTTTAGCTAATCTTCTCAGCGTTCTAAACCATGCCAGCAAATTGGCTGAAGATCGCCCAATAGCCATTTTTTTCAGCACTTTCTAACATTAGAGAAAGTCAACTACTTAGAGACCAACAATTTACTAAACGACTGCCACTGCGGCTTTCGTAGAGGTCGCTCTAAGGGAAACCTACTGGTCATTCTATTAAAGTGGCGGCTATAGATTTCTCCAAGGCGTTTGATAGAGTATGGTTTACTTATATCATTAGTTATTGCAATTGGTGTCAGTAATAATTTTTGTCAATTTGTATCGAGGTTTTTCAGAGATCGCACTGTACGTTTGTTTCCCCTCGGGGGCATGTTACATTTATGAATCTTCTTCCCTTCTGTGGGTTTTTTGCAATCCCGGGGAAAAGTGTTGCTACCAGTACCTCCTCTAGTCTACCGGCACCATAAACTGGTAATGATAAAATGTAATCCTCGACCTTTCCTTACAAAGATTCGATATGGGGTCGAACCAATGAATCACATAATTTGGTACCGCGGGAACTTGTAGCCCACGTAAAGCACAGGGCAGAGTTTCGTACTTTGTTTTGTCCCTGTTATTGAAGAGGTTCCTTTGGGTACACGTGGTAGCTGTGGTTTAAACCCAAATTCGCCAAAATGGTTGTTGGTTAAAGGACATATGCACGGTTAGTCTATACAGA